CTTAAGCCTATCCAAAATACGACTCCCACAGTGTCCTAAGCGGCGATGCCAGACCGGACCAGGTGCAACATGGGTGCTGAGAGCTAAAGGTCTGGATAAGGTAATAGGGTAAACTCCTCCATCATTGGATGCCTGAAGAAGAACCTTCCCCGTGGGTATGTCCTTTACAAAAACAAAATTTTTATCAAAAATGACAAAACAGTTATTGTCGGCACATAATTTTTGGATGGATAATAAATTGTATTTAATTTGGGGAACATGATAAACAGATTTTAAATGGAGAGGCCTGGATAAAGTAGATAATGACACATTACCAACAGTAGCCACCGGTAAAGTAGAACCATTAGCAACTGTAACAGATAGTGATCCAGAGGAGGAGGATTTATCAAATAAATTACCTTCATGAGGTGTCATATGAGCAGATGCACCGGAGTCAGGAAACCAAACAGCAGATGAAGATTCTCCGGTTGAAACAGCTAAAGCAGGAGTTGAAGACTGAACAAAGCGAGAAGAACAAGTAGCAGCAGAGTGACCTGGAGAATGACAAATTTGACAGACTACAGGAGGAGGGACACTACCAAAACCATGGTCAAAAGATGGTGAACCTGCATATACACCGTTAGTAACAGAAGCAGATAAAGCATAACTAGTAGAATACCATGGCGCAACTGTATTACCTATAACTGTACCTGATGGTCCCAAGTGTGGTGTGGGTGAGCCTCCATAGTGTCCATAAGCTGCCTGGGATGAAGGATTATAAGGATAGGAAGCTCCGAATTGACCACCACCAACAGTAGGTTGATGGCCGTAGTTAGAGGGCTGGCCGTAGGGAGGGTGCGGACCATAGGCCTGCTGCTGGCCGTAACCTCTGCCGCCACGTCCCCGACCGCCCCTGCCTCTCTGCCCGCGTCGGCCACCACGGCCACGCTGTCCGTACTGCTGCTGCTGAGGTGGCGGAGCACGTTGTGCTGCTGCGGGTGGCTGTGCAGCCTGTTGGTGAGCTGCAAACGCCGGAGTGCCAATCAACTGCTGCTCTTGACGCCGTTGAAACAGTAGCCATTGTTCTTGTTGAACCAGTTTAGTGCACAACTTGTCAAAAGTTAACCCCTCGGGAAAAAGCATGAGAGGAGTAACCACTGATTGATAATCAGAACCTAAACCAATAAGTGTACGTTCCAGGAGCTCCTTCATAGGAACAGGAGAGTTAATGGCCGATAATGCTTCAGCAATATTGCGAATGTCCCTTAGATAATGATCCATGGATTGAGATTCTTTCTTACGTAATGTACTAAGCATGGTCTTAAGCTCCATGGAACGAGCCAAACTAGCAGCCATAAAGCGAGACTCCAGTCGGTCCCAAATCAGTTTGGAATGTTTCAAAGTATGCACCTCAACTAAAATATCACGAGATAATGTAGCAAATAACCAGGAGCGCACAGTTTGATCCAATTTTAGCCAATGACAATAGTCAGAATTCATAACTTGACAATTTTGGGTATTATTGATGTACATAGGTGGGGCAGACAGTGTACCATCCAAAATACCAAGCATTGTGTGTGAAACTAAAAAGGATTCAAACTGTGTGCGCCAAGGTAAATAATCTTCAACAGCATTCAATTTGGTGGTAACAATATTCGTAATATTCATGGCTGATACTCCCAAGGATTGTGCAAGAACTGCCAAGGAGGAATTAGACGTGAATACCTGCGGCCGAGTTCCAATCGGATTGACCTGTGGTATGGTAGACACTCCTGGAGAGCCGATGAAAGTCGAACCAGCGAACTGACTCTCGCTGGAGAAGCCGGGCTCAGTGTGTTGAACGACGTCCGAGGTTAAGGTCGCCGATGTAGACAAAGAGAATGAAACATCGGGGTTCGTCGGTGACCACGTGAAGACCGGAGGAACCCAGCTGCCTACGGTCAGCGGCGGAAGCGTCGAACTATCCGGCGAGCTCAAGAACGGCAGCGTTGTGGGAAAAATATGGTCGTTCTGGCTCTGCGACGGTATAAACTCCATGGCAGGGGAAGAAGAAACAGGCGCAGCCGAGGAAGAAGGCGCAGCCGAGGAAGCCATGGTTGAGCGATCGAAAAAAAATTAATTGTCTAGGGCTCTTGATACCATGTGAGAATAATATGGAAGCCTACCGTAATGGTAGCCCCAGAAGTATATTTATAATAAAGGAGTTCAAGATACAAGAGATTTCCTACTATAATTAGACAACCTAATTAATATAAAATTATAAATACATAATACATTATTATTTTTGTGTGCTCATTCATTTTTTGACGTTATACTCATTTGAATTTAACATAAAACTCATTTCTATGGTACTCAATATGTGCTCAATATGACATTTTAAAATGAGCATAAAACCAATATCAAATGAGCATGCGTAACTTACAAAATGAGCTATAGAAAAACAAAAAATAAATATCTAAAATATTTTATAGTTGAATAAATATTAAAATAAAAAATAAAAAAAGAAAGAAAGAAGGAAACAAGTAAAAGCAAGAAAAGAAGTAAAAGAATAAAAGAATAGATAAGGAAAAAACGTAATACGTAATTGATTAGCAATTCAGGAAATCAGTAACGCAAGGAAACATAAAAGAGAAAAGAAAACAAAACACAAATGGGAAAAGCAAGGAATCAGCCGACGTTCCTCTTCATGAATCAATTAGCAACCAACAGCGAACACCAGTGATCAGCCGACGTTCCTCTTCGTATGGTGCCGAAGGAATCAGGGCAGCTCAAATGTGGACCGGCTTGGGAGAAGTTGAAAACAATTACAAAAGTACCCGGTTGTACGGTGAGGACCGTACAACCGGGTGTACGGTATATTTTGCCTCTATTCGCTTGGTATAACTCAATTAGCGCCATCGATTATTGATTGTAGACTTTCATGATAGTTAAAAATTAAAATCCGTATAAATGAATTGAATAGAGGGAGGCAAAAAAAGTGAAGGCTACAAGAAGGGCTTTATATGCTAGCCTAGTGGTGGACTCGGGTCGGGCCACCCGGCACGTGAACCGGCCCGGCCCGCTACTGTGCGGGCCCAGAACCGGCCTGGTTCACCGTTCGGGGGTACCGGGCTTTGACCCAGCCCGAGGGGGGGACGGTTCAGGGCACGGTTCCTTCAAAATGAGACCCGGCCAGGCCCGGGCCTGGTTTGGGCCGAAATCAATTTTTTTTTTTGTTTTTTTTTATTCCAACGGGTTGGGCTGGGTGTTTTTTTTTTGGGGGGGGGGGGGGGGGCGGGGGGGGTTGGGGGTGGGGGGGTTGGGGGTTAATTAGAAAAAGCAAAAAAAAAAAATATATATATAAAGAGGCCCGAGGCCTGGCCCAGACCCGGACCCAGTTGATACCCGGGCCGGTCCTGGGCCCACCTATTCAGAACCAGTGGCCCGCCCGGGCCTAGGCCCGGCCCGGACCCGACCCAGTCCAAGTCCAGGACTATGCTAGCCTCGATTTTTTGAATGTGATTGATAGAAAAACGAAGGCTGCAACAAGTGCTTTTGATGCTAACCTCGATTTTTAATTTTTTAATAAGAATAAATGATGTAAGTAATCGTATGATTAGAGTAATAATAATTGTAATTTCATATGATGTTTGTAAATGTAGTAAGTGATCAAAAAACTAAAGTAATCTCTTTAGATATACCATTTAACAAGTTTTCAATTAATTATAAACAACCATTTAACTAAACCCCATTTTACAAATCACTAATAATATCGGCTAATCAAAAGTTCAAAACAGTCAACATAAACGATTGTCATCACCTACTACGGCTTTTAGCAGAATTTGGTCATTAATTATATTTACTTGTTCATTTTAACTATTAATTTCATATGTTGTATCTTAAAATTATACTCCGTATGAAAATAGACCCACAAATCAATTTCTCACATATAAAGCTTGTCCAATGCGGTTAGGGATGGACCGGGCCCGGTCCGGTTACGGGTTGGGCCCAGGCAGGCTTGGAATTCTTTGGGTAAGGCCCGGGACCGGCCCGGGAGTCTACCGGTACCGGGCCAGGCCGGTTCTTTTAATTTTTTTTAGATATCCTTCTTTATTCCAACCCCCAACCCCCAAACCCCGCCAAAACACCCAGCCCAGCCCACCTACCATAGGCCCAACCCCAAAAAAAAACCAAAAAAAGGACCGAACCTGGATAACTGGATTGGCCGGGACTGTCCCTATTTACCCAGCCCCGGAACCGCCCCATTAAACCCCCGGGCCGGTCCTAGGCCCGGAACCAGGCCAACCCTAGTTTCGGTCCGCAACCAGGACCTCCCTACATAGAGGTAAGGGTCAGATTAGTACTCGAAGTTGCATAAAAAGGGTCAAATAAGTCCTTATATAGGAGGTTCTGTCTGGCCGTCGCCATTTGGGGCGGTTCCCGGCGAAATTTTTTGACGAATTTTTTTGAGCATCTTATTCATTAAGTCTAGTTTACTCATAGCAAATTTCAGCAAAAAATTCAACCGAGAAGGCATTCAAATGAATTCTTGAAGATAACTGCACAGTTAAAAACACAGTTATCTTCAAGAATTTATTTGAATGTCTTCCCGATTGAAGTTTTAGTTGAAATTTGGTATGAGTAAACTAGACTTAATGAATAAGATGCTCAAAATATTTCGTCAAAAAATTCCACCGAGAACCGTCTCAAATGGCGACGGCCGGACAGTAAGGACTTATTTGACCCTTTTTATGCAACTTCGAGTACCAATCTGACCTTTACCTCTCCCTACATATAACCATATGGTCTGATTTTATCTACATAAAACTTAGTGACCAATATAAGATTCACAAGTAACTATATTGTTATCATTTTCCCCAACCATTTTTTCATTGTTTTGCCACTTGTTTGCTTTGAAGAATGAAACAGTGAGGGACCTAAAGCATAAAAACACTACATAACTACATTTAGGCAAAAGCACGTTTAAGCTTTAGCAGTATTTAAAAAAAATGATATCATCGCAAATTATAATGAAAATGGAATTATGAAAGTCAAACGATTAAGTTCATTCGTGAGCAGAAGCTGTATGCTTATCCAATATGGCATAACAATTAACAAATACCGAAACCATGGAGAGATCAATTCTTGAGAAAGAAGGGCTAAACCTGATTTAACGGTATAATTGTTTCAGGGTTTAACTACACCATTTTTACATGTGTAAAAATGTAAGGTATAAACACACGGCTCATGATGAGTGAAAGGTTCCAATCATAGACAAGAGCTTTAACGGTTGGAGTTTTAATAAAAATAAAATAAAACAAAAAAGATATCAATCAACTAGGCGTGCAGCACAGGAAAAGTTCACAAACTAGTATAGCTCAAGGCTGACAAGGTGATGAAACATATACAAACCATGCAGTATAATTAACCTGGAGCTTTCTGGTTTAAGCGCAATCACATTCACGAGAAAAGATTGCAAGATGCGGATGAGCAAATTATTAGGAGAATCAAGAGTCATCAGTCAAGAAGAGCTACCTCGAAAACGACCCAGAAGCTGAAAACAAAATGAAACAAGTTACCCAACCTGACATGCTAAACAAATATCTCGAAAGGTCATACCAGTTTTACCACAAAAATAACGCGACCACCAAGGATTTTCTATAGTACTCAGACTTATATTTGAATAATGACTCACTTTGAGAGAATCAATTTCATCTTTTGATATTTGGTGGGAAAATTGGGTACTTTTTTTCTGGAAAAATGAACGAAATATATTACAGTTATTCCTTATGTGGTATAAAATAAGAGAAAATTGAATGCACAGAAACAGACACACAGCTCTTTAAGGTGGATCAAAGTTTATACACAAGCTTTAAGAAATTAAGTTCATAGCTCTATTTTAATTAAATTATAACATACATTTTATCATGTCAATTTACCCACCCTTCACCCTTAAAACGCCAATCCCACCTCTCCCTATTTCCCAACTGAGTGAACTGACAAGCCACACTCATATCTGCCAATCCACCTTTGAGTTCATCCTCCATGAGATCCAACAGCTTCTTATAATCTCTGTTCGCAGCTTCTCCATATTTCTCTCTCACAAACTAGTATGGCTCACGGCTTTGGAACTCCATTAAAGGAGGAGTTAACAATAGCACCTTATGTTTGCGTTTGGGCTAATAATTTATCTGGACCATCCAACGGCCCTAGTGCCAGGACAAGCTCAGCTACATGTTGGGCTTCGATGCCCAAACAACCCAAACTATGTACTCATTGACGAAAACAAACAATGCACTGTTCTTGATTACAAGATCAAGCAAGACGCATCCTGATTGTACAGCCTGATATCCATTACATGTGTCACAATCTTATCCGTCAAAGCAAGGATATACATGGCCCGATAAGAGTAGGGCAAGCATCCCAATATGTAGTATATCCAACTATATATATCACTCCAGCTGTGGAGGTGACAAATGATAAGGTTTTTTCAATTGTCAACTAAAATAAAAATAACAGGTGGTGACAATGATGATAGCTGTGGCTGACATTGGTGTCAGCATATAGCTAGAGTTGTATCATCGCCATGATAGTGGTGATGGTGGTGCTAGTGGTAAGAGACCAAAGGTGCTGAAGGTGTGATAGGTCGGGGGTGGCAACAACAATGACAGGGTGGTGACAATGATTGTGGTGATTGGATGAGTGTCGGTAACTAGTCAGTTGCCAGTTGCCACAATGGTGCAGTGGTGATGAGGTGATAGAGTACTCACAGGTATGTAAGATCTACAGAAGAGAAGAAATAGAATTTTAAGGAACACTCTCAAGCTTTCATTAATGGTGGAAAGTGTACAAAAGAGCTCCAAGAAACGAGACAACTAATCTCTATTTTTCCCAGTCCCAAGCCAATAGTCTAACAGCCTCCCTTCCCAGCTTTATTCTATTTATTATTATAGTTTCCCAGCTTAACTGAAGGTAGTTATTAGCTAATAACAGAATTTAACTAACAACTAACTATTCTATTTACTCCTTCCTTCTAGAATAGACTCTTCCAAAGTATTTATCTTCTTTATTCTATCAATACTCCCCCTCTGAAAACCAAACTTGTCCTCAAGTTAGAATGTTGGGAACTGTTCCTTGATTACTTGCTCCTTTTCCCAAGAATCTTCAAAATCCGGAAGGTCCTTCCAATGCACCATGACTTCTTTTTCCCCTTAGGATTGAATCTGACATCTTTCACCTCCTCAGGCATTATCAACAATTCACATTCCTCGGTCAGACATTTAGGAAGATCTTGGTAGGTAGTTGTAGGTGTCGGCACCTTTTTGATAGGGATATATGGAAAACATGATGAATCTGACTATCCACAGGTAATTTAAGCTTGAAAGCCACAGGATTTATCTTCTTAATGATCTCATAGGGGCCATAGTATCTGGGGTTTAATTTCTGATTAATCCTCTTGGCTAAACTCTTCATTTTGTAAGCAAAAACACCATGTCTCCAACCTCTAGTTTTACTTCTCTTCTGTGTTTATCTGCTTGCTGCTTCATGTGGTTTTGAGCCTTAACTAAATGCCCTTTTAATTCCTTAAGAACCTCATTCCTCTCAGCTGTCAACCTTGATACTTCAGCCACAGAAGACAAACTGACATCTCCTCTGATTATTGTAAGAGGCTTTTGACCAAATAGGGCTTAATAGGGTGTATTTTGTACGGAGATATGATAATTGGTATTGTACTAAAACTCTGCCCAGGATAACCACCTAACCCATTGTTTGGGTTTCTTGCCAGTCATACATCTCAAATAGGTCTCTAAACACCTATTTACAACCTCAGTCTGCCCATCACTCTGGGGATGGTAGGTAGTACTGTATTTCAATAGAGAACCTGCTGATTTAAACAATTCAGACCAAAAAGTACTCAAAAATAGGCTATCCCTGTCACTAACAATGGACTTGGGGAATCCATGTATCTTCACTACTTCTTGTATAAATAGCTCAACAACTCCTTTAGCATTGTAAGAATGAGCTAAAGGCAGGAAGTGTGCAAATTTTGTCAGTCTATCAATCACCACCAAAATAGTATCCTTGCTCATAGACTTAGACAGTCCCCCAATAAAATCCATACTAATGTCAGTCCAGATATTATCAGGAATAGGAAATGGTTGTAACAAACCTGCAGGTTTCAAGGCTTGATATTTGTTCTTTTGACAGATTTCACATCCTTGAACATAATCCTTAATATCATATCTTATTCCAAACCAATAAAATAGGTTTGAAATCCATTTCATTGTTCTAAAATACCCGGAGTGTCCTCCAACTGCTGAGTCATGGTATTCTTTAAGGATTGTAGATATTCTGCTAGATCCCTTAGGTAATACCAGCCTCCCTTTGAAGTAAAGCAAACCTCCCTTTATCTTGTAATCAAATGTGCCGTCTGAATGGGTTAGGACCTTCTGGATAATTTCCACACACTTGAAATTCTTCCTCCAATCCCTTCCACTCTTGACAGGTTACTATGGATAATGAAAACATAGTAAGTTTTCTGAAAAGATCATCAGCTGCTCTATTCTCAATATATGGCTTGTATTTGATAGTGAAATCATAGCCCATCAACTTTGCTATCCACTTATGTTGCTCCTCCCCCATAGCCTTCTGTCAGTTAGGTATTTTAAGCTTCTTTGATCTATGTGTACCTCAAATTTCCTTCCCAACAAATATGGCCAAATATGGCCTCCATTTCTGGATGGCAAATACAATTGCCATCAATTCTTTCTCATATACTGATTTGTTTTGATGTTTAACAGATAATTCTTTGCTCATATGAGCTATAGGTCTGCCTTGCATTAACACAGCTCGCAATCCTTTTCCTGAAGCATCAGTTTCCACAATAAACATCTTGCTGAAATTTGGGACCCTTAACACTAGTAGAGAAGTCGTGGTAAGTTTCAGTTCTTCAAATGCTTTATTGGCCATAGCATCCCACTTGAAACTATCTTTCTTTAACAATTGTGTTAGAGGTGGACCAATCTTGCTATACCCTCTCACAAACCTTCTGTAATAGCCAGTCAACCCTAAGAACACTCTCAACCCTTTGAGGTCCCTTGGTTCCTTCCAACTCTTCATTGCTTCTATTTTACTAGGGTCTGCAGAAACTCCATGCTCAGAAATGATATGACCAAGATAAGTTAACTGATTTTGACCAAATGAACACTTATTTCCATTTGCTACCAATCTATTCTCTTTCAGAGCTTCTAATACCTTCCTCAAGGGTTCTTTATGTTCTTCCTTGAATTTGTTGTATACTAATATATCATCAAAGAAAACTAGAGCAAATTTCCCTAGAAATGGTCTCAAGACTTCATTCATTAGGTCTTGGAAAGTTGATGGAGCATTAGTCAGTCCAAAGGGCATGACTAAGTACTCATAATGTCCCTCATGAGTCTTGAAAGCAGTTTTGTGAGTGTCACTTGCTTTCATTCTGATCTGATGATACCCAGATTTTAAGTCCAATTTTGAAAATACTTTAGCTCCTCCTAAATCATCAAGGAATTCTTCAATTACTGGAATTGGAAACTTGTCCGAGACTGTTATCTTGTTCAGGGATCTATAATCTCCACAAAACCTCCGACCACCATTCCTCTTTATAGCCAATAATACTGGACTGCTATTAGTACTATTGTTGTGTTTTATTATCCCTGAACTAAGCATTTCCTTAATGATCTTTTCAATTTCATTCTTTTGATCATAGGAATACATATAAGGCCTTAGGTTAGGTATATTGGCTCCGATGATTTTGATGGCATGGTCACAAGGTCTGATAGGAGGGAAATCCAATTTAGATTTGAAAACTTCTGGAAACTCCTACACAATCTCTTCCCAGTCTTTATTCTTCTTTTTGTCCAGATCATTTTCCTGCTCTTGCCCTTCACGATACAGCAAGTACCCATCTCCAGTTTGCTGCAGAATATGTGTCATGGTTTTAAGAAAAACTTCCACATTATTTAAGGTTGTATCCTTTTTGATAGTACAATCTTGTCCATGCTGCCTCTAATTAATGGTCTGATTCTGAAAATTAACCTCCATATCTCCCAGCTTAAATTTCCACCTATCAGGGGTTGTGGTCATGTCATCAATATATTGAAGGGGCAAACATTCCTAACATAAGACCTAACAGGTATTCTTATGATCAGAAAAATGAGATTGGGAAAATCATCAAGGAAATGCTTAGTTCAGGGATAATAAAACACAGCAACAGTCTTTATAGCAGTCCAGTTTTATTGACTAAACAGAAGAAAGGTGGTTGGAGGTTTTGTGGAGATTATAGAGCCTTAAACAAGATAATTGTCCCGCATAAGTTTCCCATTCCAGTTATTGAAGAACTTCTGGATGAATTAGGAGCCAGAATTTTTTCAAAACTGGATTTAAAATCTGGATATCACCAAATTAGGATGAAAGCAAGTGATACTCATAAGACTGCTTTCAGGACTCATGGGGGACATTATGAGTATTTAGTCATGTCATTTGGACTGTCAAATGCTTCCTCAACATTTCATGCCCTAATGAATGAAGTCTTGAGACCTTTCTTAAGGAAATTTGCTCTAATATTCTTTGATGATATATTAGTATACAGTAAATCTAAAGAAGAACATAAAGAGCATTTGAGGAAAGTTTTGGAAGCCTTAAGGGAGAATAAATTGGTGGCAAATGAGAAGAAATGTTCATTTGGTCAAAATCAATTAAATTATTTAGGCAACATAATTTCTGAATAAGGAGGGGCACCAGATCCTGGTAAAATTGATGCAATGAAGAACTGGGCTGAACCTAAGGATCTCAAGGGGTTAAGAGAATTCTTAGGTTTAACTGGGTATTACAGGAGATTTGTGAAAGGATACAGCAAGATTGCTGCACCTAGACACAATTATTGAAGAATGATGGTTTTAAGTGGAATGAGAGGGCCAATAAAGCATTTGCAGATCTAAAATTTGCTATGATTTCTTTGCCAGTATTAAGGGTCCCAGCAAATTGTTTGTCTTAGAAACTGATGCGTCAGGAAAAGGTTTGGGAGTTGTGTTAATGCAAGAAGGTAGACCTATAACTTATATGAGCAAGAAATTGTCGATCAAACATCGGTCCAGATCTGTATATGAGAAGGAGTTAATGGCAATTATACTTGCCTTCCAAAAATGGAGGCCATATTTGTTGGGAAGGAAGTTTGGGGTCCACACTGACCAAAGAAGTTTTAAATATCTTACTGAGCAGAAAGTTATGGGGGAAGATCAACATAAATGGATAACAAAATTAATGGACTACAATTTTACTATTAAATACAAGCCAGATAGCGAAAACAAAGTAGTTGATGCTCTTTCAAGAAAATCTACTCTTTTAGCCTTATCTATAGCCACCTGCCAGGAGTGGGAAGGCTTGGAAGAGGAACTAGAGAAAGATCCTAAGTGTGGAGAAATCATCCAGAAGACATTAACTCAGCAAGACAAGTGTGTGGATTACAAGATAAAAGGGGGATTACTATAGTACAAAGGGAAACTGGTGTTATCTAAGAGATCTAGCAGAATACTCATCATCCTAAAGGAATATCATGAGTCAGCAGTGGGGGACATTCAGGTTATTTTAGAACCATGAAGAGGATCTCAAGCTTATTGTTTTGGTCAGGCATGAGATTAGATATTAAGGATTACATCCAGGGTTGTGAGGTTTGCCAGAGAAATAAATACCAGGCCCTAAAACGTGTAGGCATGTTACATCCTTTACCCATACCTGACCATATATGGACTGACATCAGCATGGACTTTATAGGTGGCTACCTAAGTCCCAGGGTAAAGATATTGTACTTGTGGTAGTTGATAGACTGACTAAATTTGTACATTTCCTGCGCCTATCCCACCCTAATAATGTTAAGGGAGTTGTTGGGCTATTCATCCAAGAAGTTGTAAAGATACATGGGTTTCCTAAGTCAATTGTAAGTGACGGGGATAGTATATTTCTAAGTTCTTTCTGGTCAGAACTGTTTAGTTGACAGGCACTCAATTAAAGTACAGCACTGCATACCATCCCCAGAGTGATGGGCAGACAGAAGTAGTCAACAGGTGTTTTGAAACATGTTTGAGGTGTCTGACTGGCAGGAAACCTAAACTGTGGGTGAAATGGTTACCTTGGACAGAATTTTGATACAACACCAACTATCACATTTCCCTAAAAAATATTACATATAAAACATTGTTTGGACAAGAACCGCCTAACATAATCAGAGAAGATGTAAGCATAACTGCAGTGGCTGAAGTATCTAGATTAACAGCTGAAAGGAATGAGTTACTAAAAGAACTGAAGGAAAACCTGGCTAAAGCTCAGAATTTGATGAAACAACAAGCTGACAAGCATAGAAGAGGAGTGGATTTGGAAGCTGGGGCCAGGGTATTCTTGAAGTTACCACCTAATAAAACGAAGAGCTTGGCTAAAAGGGTCAATCAGAAGTTATGTCCTGGATTTTATGGTACATATGAGATTATAGAAAAGTTAAACCATGTGGCTTTTAAACTCCAATTACCAGTGGATAGTAAAATACACCATGTATTTCACATATCTCTACTGAAAAAAGTGTTCAAACCTACAACTACTTATCAAGACCTTCCTAAGTGTCTCACAGAAGAATGTGAATTGCAAGTGATACCAGAGGAAGTAAGAAATGTCAGAATTAAATCATGAAGGAAAAAAGGAAGTCATGTTGCAGTGGAGGGACCTTCCTGATTTTGAAGATTCATGGGAGACTGAACAAGTGATCCAAGATCAATTCCCAGATTTCCAAGTTGAGGACAAATTGGATTTTCAGAGGGGGAGTATTGATAGGGATACGACTATTCTTAATAAAAAGGATAGATACTTTGGTCAAGTCTATTCTTGAAGAAATAAATAGACTAGTTGTTTTCTGTTATTAGCTATTAACTTCTTTCTGTTATTAGAATAAGTCTGGGATAAGTCAGACAGGTTGTTAGACTGTTAAGCTGGGACTGGGAAGATTAGAGAATTGTCTTGGTTTACCTCCATTAATGAAGTTGTTGATTTTTTCTTGAGCTAGATTTCATTTTGTTTTGCTATTACATACCTGGCATAGCTCTATCAGTTCTGTAGAAGACCTTAAAGCAATATTAATTTTTTTTCTCACTTCTTTCCATAACATAGGACATCCAGAGTAATATCTAAATGACCCAAGGAGATCTAAAAGAAACAGCTGTTTCACACTTTAACTGGTTGCCACTAGTACTAGGGGTGCAAACGAGCCGAGCCGAGCCCGATTTTCTACAGGCTCGAGCTCGAGCTCGAAATATATAGCATCGGCTCGAGCTCGGGCTCGGCTCGAACGAGCCTACAAAATTGCGGCTCGAACTCGACTCGCAAAAGGCTTGGTTCGACTCGATTCGGCTCGAGGCTCGGTTCGGCTTGAGGCTCGGTTCGGCTTGAGGCTCGATAACCATTCTGATGCTCCATAATGAGTCCGTAGTAAAAATTCACTGTCATCGGCCCATTCTAAGTTTTTCTATTGAGTATTAACGCCCTAAGCCTAAAATACTATAAATTTTTACTAATCGGTAATTCGGTATATATTATATACTATCCTCCGTGCCATAATTCTTGCAACAATTTGACTTTCACGTTTGCCAATGCACAACTTTGATTGTAATTATATTTAATTATGTATTAGTAGACATTATAAAAAGTTGATATTTTGGAAATTCACATTGATAAGAGTTCAATAACATTTTATACGTAATAATTTGATTATGTATATTAGTAGAAAATCATGGTCAAATTAAGATATGTGAATAGTGTAAAAATCACAATGTTGCAAGAATTATGGAACGGAGGAAGTATATCATATATATTACATATAATAATATACACTATATATTAATTTATATTGCATAGTAATATATTATATATGATTATATATATATATATATATTATAAATATTCACATATAAAATTAGGCTTGCGAGCCGGCTCGCGAGCCAGCGAGCCTGAAATTAGAAGGCTCGAGCTCGGGCTCGATTGCTTAACGAGCCGGCTCGAGCTCGGCTCGAGCTCGAATTTGACCGATCCCGATTCGAGCTTTGACCGAGCGGCTCGCGAGCGGCTCACGAGCGGCTCGGCTCATTTGCACCCCTAGCCACTACTACCTTAAACGATGCAATATACACTTCAGCACAACAACTCAACAAAGGCAGGAAACTAAAAGCACGCTCACCAGATTAGGGTATCTTAAGATCCATCCAATGACAGGAATTTGATAAAGAAAAACCTTGACAGATGGCCAAAAACCACTACACCGAACACATAAATGAAAGAAGTATTTCAGTAACACCGCATGAAAAGGGAAATTAATGTATAAAAGGGAAGCAGATGGAAATATAAATCATCAGGAAAGTATATAGAACTGGGAGCTCACCCGAATAGTACAATGCAGCCATACACTTCCATAATTATGCCCAAGATTGGCCAACGAACAAATATAAGGAAGATTCCAAGAAGAAAGGAAGCCGAGCCCTATATTGAATTAAAGAAGTGAAGAAAACCTTATTATTTGGCATATTTAATGGAAAGTGGTAGACATTCCAAAACTACACGGGGTCCTTTTAATGACCACAGGAATAATGCCAAGCCACTGATATGACCATGGGAATAACGCATTACACAAAACACCAAACTAAAATTCAACAAATAAAATAGGACATAAACTGACGGCTAAAAATATAACAACAATGGAGATAACTGCCAGAAGATCCAGGCGTGGCATGCATCCAGTGCTAAATAACCGGTAGAGTCAATGTTGTGAAATCTACTAAGGGGTCGCTTACTTGTGACTTCAAGGAATTGATCAGAATAGCGACTTATTCATTCAGTAAAAAAACTGACTTAATCATTAAGCTATAGTATAGTAGTTCTTCCTATTAAGACGTCTAATTCAGCCAATTTTTTAAATATCAATTATGGAATAGATATATGTAAATAAAATAACAAAAAATCATTGTTCATTGACAATATAACTCAATAATAATGTTAAATTGATAGGAAAAAAACATCCCCTAAGAGAATCCCATAGGCCGTCCAACCTGCCTAGAAGCGAAGCGGTACAGGGTGCCTAGCACATGGCACCCGCCTAGGCTGATATCTAGAACACTTTATGAGTACAATAAGAGATTTTGCAGTAGTAGGAATCAAAATTAGTTGTTTGCAACAGTTAATTTGCTTTGTTTGGAGGAGAGAAGCCAGAGTTTCTATCGAATAATAATTAAGCAGATACAACCAAACAGGGTGAAAGAGAGAGCCAGATGTCACTTTCAGCAGTTTGACTGGAATATTGGTCATGAGAAACTTCCAGCAGTTTATAATATCACATGGAGGCCCACGTTAATATCCCAACAGTTTTTATCATTTTTATCTTATCTTATCTTTATATACTTTTTACCTTTTTTAGCTCTGATTTCATATAATTGTTGGATGTTGTATTATCCTGGTACAGTTAATAATCTTCCTGATTTCCCTAACTCCCCCAGCCCAAAAATAAACTTCCTGATTTCCTTTTGGTCCGTCCCAAAATAATCTTCATGTTTCATTTTAAAGAAAGAGATATGTGGTTCTTTCACTCGTTAGTCGTTTCTAAACAAATCTCCACCACATTTTTTTGTTTCAACCATTTTCTTAATAGGTGTGTCAAACCCAAACAAGAACTATATTTCGGGATGCAGGGAGTAACTATCATGTCATGTGATTACATTAAAAGTCTTACTTTATTAAGACTCTCCCCACTTATAAGCCATAAGGCCCTTTTTGGAGAACCATATATGTTCTGCCTCTTTATACCTTGAAGTTCACCCTATTAGTGAAAATTTGCAGAGTGGACCGCCAGCCCAATAAAAGGGAGACACCAGCTAACCATAGTATCTATTAACAAAGGAAGGAAAAAAACATCAGTTCTGCTGAATTTGGAAGATAAGCTTAAGCAAAAAGACCATGGAGAGCTCTTACATTACCCAGAGCAAGTAAACCCCTGTCGAAAAAGAGAATGACGGCGAGAAATGAGAATAAGATGCCAAACCCAATAAGACCTAACCCAACCTCTGCAAAAACCAAACTACTTTTGTGAATATCATATTCTCATTAAAAAGGTTAGATGAACAACATCTAGATATGTTTGAAAAGTAAAACATGGATTATATTATTAGATAGTAGTGGTTTAACTGCATACGAAATGGAAATATCTCCTGAAATTTTCAATGGCCAAAACATTGTGATAATATTACACATTTCAAGCATTCTTGAAGTACATTTAGTGAAAGGAAACGCCAACGATCCCCCCCCCCCCCTGTCCAACCCAAAAAAAAAAACATGAACCCTTTCCATTTCAACATTGTAGCTTAGGTTTCTTGTGTGCAGGGTTCAGTTAAGAGCAACAATTGAATTTGAGCATGATTAACCAGACTGCTGAAGGAAAAATAGCACTGCAAGTAAATTACCTAAGCAGATTCAACCATCATTCTCTTAGGGGGTGTTTGGAATTGATTCTACTTCTGCTTCTTTTTTAAGAGAAAAATTTGAATCACAATCAGTTTTTCATAAACTGATCTCCCTTGGCTTCCCAAAAATTACTTCTAAAAGCAATTTGGAGCACTTAGAAGTACTTCTGCACTTCCACCCGAGCACTAAAATGTCTTTTTCTGCTCCCTGAAGGAGCAGAAGCAGGTTTTAAGAAGCAAATCCAATCACCCTCTTAGCCACTGTAATGACAAGCTAGGGGAGATTCCCAGCACGATATATTTCATAACTAGGTTAGAATTGATAAATCTGAGGCATCAATATTAGCAAGTATCGAAAATCATCTCCAGTAACCAATGTATGATTACAAGAATAACTATGACAAAACTAAATAGGATGAAATACGTGTACTTCAGGAAGTTTGTAAGGCTTGAGTTAACATTTCCTACCTCAGTCATACTATATCAGATTTAGCCCCATGCTTCCAGCTAAGGTAATTACCATAACCACTATATTATAATGGAACCAAGGAAGGTTGTAGAAATCATGAGTGATGATGATTTATATCTAAGTACAACATTTTGTAGATATTAGGAAAATTGATAAACCATAAGGTGTATATATAGATAGGGTGTGTCAAACATGTTATATCAAGAGAAAATTCTTTAAAAGATTAAAAAACATAGACAGAAAGCACAAATAGGACCACCGTTGTATTCTTCCTAAAATAGGAACCATTCACTCCTAATTAGGGAAATTTTATACTTTTATTAGGATCAAATAAGTCTTGTTTTGGGAATAAAACATAATTATTCCTATTTGTGCCCTTTGTCTATATTTTCATCCTGTTTGAAGCAATTCTTTTATATCAAGAGGGTTCCCTTATCTGTAAGACATGCATTCACGTGTTAACATGCATATATAGTGATGAAAAAAGCAGCTGAAATAGCTAAAGTTACTTTTATTGATCATTTTACCTCTTTTTCATATATGTATAGTAACAAAACATAATTTAAATTGCTATGTTTTATTAACAAAACATCATTTAAATATAGTAATATTTTGCAACTCAACTTATTCAGTCAATTCAGCCACAAGTTCACAACTTCAAGAGATTTATCCACATCACCAATTACACTTACCGAACAAGCTCATGGTCAAATAGGTCTAAATGACCTTTATGAAAACGAGAAAATACAATAGTCGTTGAGAACATATATTTTAAAGCAGTGTAAGTGATAATGTTATATACTTACTTTTCTGCTCGTCCATTTCATATGCCATGTTGCTGATCCTATAGGTGCACTGGTAAAAACCAGCTCAGCAATACCTCTCAACAAACTGCAAAAACTGCTTCTCGTGAAATGAGGATAAAATCACAAATCTAGTGTAGAAACTAGAAAGAATTAGATTGTCTTATGTCAGATAAAGAAGGGGAAATTGTGATAAGTAAGTTTCTAAAACAATTTTATATGAAATGTAGGTGGCTAGGTGCCAATTACAACTAGTATATCATACACCAAACTGGATCAAGGCGCTTGTGATCTTGTCACAGCTCACAAGTGGTCATCACAATTGTACTTTATGTCACACCCTCTCACACGCTCATTATGCTTGACATAGTTCAGATTAGGGCAAAATGTGTTCTGTCATGAGAGCTTCTGAAAATCGGAGTACTTTTATGAACCCCAATTAACTCAGAGATCATCCCCTACAAGTTTTTCCAGATACAACGAAATATTGCAGGTGAAAGTTAATGATTTGGCATTAATCATCATGATGAGTGTGACGTATTTACTATTGAGAAAGCATAACTTAGACGTTTGGCGCAAGTGGGAAAGAATATTATTTACCCAGCAAAGTCCGATGAATTGGTCAAAGTTTATATAATTCTCGACGATAGATGAAGTCCGAGCGGCTAGAGGTGAGGTCGAAGACGGTGAAGTTGGTCCGCTGGGGGTACTTGCCAATTCAGTACTCCGTATTTCATTTCACTGTACTAACTGCTAGTATCATTTCCTTAACTTTTGGGGTTGCTTCGCGCACCCCAAAATTGTTTTACCCACGGACTAATTTGGTCTTCTTAATTATTAATTAAAATTAACAATAATTAAAACACTAATTAAAATTGCTATGCGCACCTCCACCTTCACGCTCGGCTCACGCAAATTATATGGTACAGCCGGCTTTTAGTTCGCGAATTGCAGGCTTCCATCGCAGACTTCCGTCATCACAGGGCTTCCATCGCAGGCTTCCGTCATCGCAGGGCTTCCATCGCAGGCTTCCATGGCCGATCATCCTTGCTCCGTTGCTCGCCGCCTACTAGCACCTCTCCCTTTTTCGAAAACCGCAACCCTTCAGCAGCTCTCCTTCAGCTTCGTCCTTAACTTCGCATGTTCTGTTCCTTTCTTTTCCTTTTTCTATTTTTCCCACACTGATTATTTTAGTTTGGTGGTTTTTGGGTCAGGGATAACCTAGGTTGTACATAATTCTAAAGATATGAGCATACGCAAATAAAAGTTTGAGCAGGGTGGTGATTTTAAATGAGCCTAAAAGAAATGAGTATACGCCTAAAAGAAATGAACTCACACAAACTAATATTGAACACATTGAAAATGAGTTTCATGTAAAATTGAAATGAATATAACACCCAAAATGAATGAGCAAACTCAAATGAGTTTTTTGAACGCTCATTTCGTAATTTATGTATACTCATTTGATATTAGTACAATACTCTTTTTAAAATGGCATATTCATGCATATTTCAAAATGAGTTTTAAGTTAAATTCAAATGAGTATTATGCCCAAAATGAATGAACACACAAAAATGAGTTTTTAATATTTTGATACTCATTTTGTAAATTATATATGCTCATTTGATATTGTTTTATGCTCATTTAAAAATGATGCACATATCAAATATACGCCCAAAATCAATGAGCATACACAAATAAAGTTTTGATTTTTTTATACTCATTTTATAAATTATGTATGCTCATTTGGTATTGTTTTATGCTCATTTTAAAATGATGCACATATCAAACATATCATACTACATTAGATTCACATATTGAAATTAATTATAAACATAATTTAAGATTTTTAATTTTTATAAATGAAAAAATCATTAAAAGAAACCGAATTAGAAAATATGAAGCAGAGATCACTGGTGCTCATTGTTAGGCTTTTAATACTCAGAAGAATAGGCTCGATGCTCATCAAAATTACATCAATGCTCATTTACGAGAAACCACGAACTTCATGAAAATTACAAAACTGCCACCGGCTGTACGGTGCCAACCGTACAGCCGGCTGTATGGTATACGCTTCCCTCGGCTGATGGCTCTATTGGCTTGTCTATTTCAATTTCACATTTAATATACATCCAATTAAATGCTGCCATGTGGCAAGTGCTTCTTTCTTTTATAAAATGTCATAACTTTTTCATTTCAACTCCAATTTTTATAAAAATTATACCAAATTAAATACTACGTATCTTTTTATGATCTTTCATATGACACCAATATTATATATGTAATTTTAAAAAAATCTGGTCAAGTCTCATGAATTGTGGATAAATGTATATACTATTATTTAAATCTAGTCTAGTGAGATTTGATCCTACTTGTTTGAATCTATCTGAATCAAAATCAGTTCAATTAAAAATATCCTAAATATCATTCACATCATAAATCCAGTCATGTAGTAACATATATGACCGTAATGTGGAATCAACATGGTGCTGATGGAGAAAATGTGGGGGCCTCCACCTTTGAAATTAGTCAAACAAATAAATAAGGTTACTTATTCAAATATATAATCTAATATAGAATTGCGCAAAGTTAAAAAAAAAACATTTAAGTTTTTATAATACATAAGGTTTATATCAATTATCCAATACAATTGTAACGGGTCTCTTATAACATTACGACAGTCTGTAAACTGTGTAATTCGATGAAGAAGTGGTGTATGCCATCTTGTAATGGTCTAATCTGATATGATCTTATCTTATTTGTTCTTTTTAAGTTTGGTTTAGTCTAGTCTAAACTGGTTTGTCCTATTAGATGTCTGTTTATGTTCGTGCATGTGTTTTTTTGTATCTGTCTTATACAACTACCGAAATTTGATTTGGTTTGATCTGAGATCGAAATTTGATAGTTGTTTTGTCAATTAGTTTTTCGTGCAATTCAGTAAACGTTAATATATTTACGGTTTTTTATGAAATAAGCAATATTGATGTCATATGAAAAATCATGAAAAATTATTTAATTTCATATATTTTTGGTATAAACTATGTTACAAAGAAAATAGTTATAGCTTTTCTATGTATAGCATTTAAAAACTACTCCACGTCTCTAGCTTCTCTATGTTTAACATTTAAAAAGTTTGAAAAAAAAAATGTGTTTGAAAAGGCTACCTCTGAATGGGTTTTATAATTTTTTTGTTCTAAATGTGTTTCCGAATTACATTATCCTCGACAAAGAGAAAAAACTTTCGTTATTTTGCATTACTCGTTGCCTTTTGTTTTTTCAAATCACCCCCAAAACATGTCAATTAAAAACATCATAGATATTGTCATATCGTAGTTAGGTGATGATAGAAAAATACAACATTATTCAATATAAAGATGAATGAAAAAGTATATATATACATATGACGATCAAAATATTAACAAATATTGTACACGAACTTCATGAAACACATAAAAAGAACGAATATGTAAATAGTGGGACAAATGAATACCTCATAACTCTAAAAATCAAGAATACTATTTTTTTTTGCGAGAAAGAATACTATTTTTTAGAGAACTTTCAGATTCACCCTCCTTTGTATAAGAAGATTGTAAAAGAAAGTATGAGAGCATTAATAATGAGTTTCAAATATTTATAGAGCAGTTATTTGATAGTAGTTAGAAAGTCCATTCCTGATTATATTAGGAATCTGAGTATATTAGGAGTATTACACAAAATTTAAGAAATATTAAAACCTAGTTTTATTTTAAAGAAGCAAGACACCCATTACAAAAATCAATACGGATGAAGTATACACCCATTATCTATTATAATCTAAAAGCAAAATGAAAGTGGGCTGAAGTTTCCCCCTCAAAAACGTCACTGTCAATTCATTGTTGTGTATAGCCGATTAATCCAAGGTTGGCTGAGGGCCTGATGTGTAAATAACGTAAAGTTAAGCCCTTGGGTGTGACCCTTTGCAGGAAACGAATGGATGGAGAAAGTTTAAACACTGTATAGATTTCTTTAGGATTTTTTAACCCACTATGCGTGATTCTCATTGGATGGTTTGTTGTTGAACAGTAAAATTAGTACCGATTTGGTCACTGTTCTTAGGCCTGTCAATGGGTCGGGTCTAGACCCGGACCCGACCCGGACCCGGTTGTTTTTAACGGGTATGGGTCCTTATTTTATTCCGTTTACCCGGACCCGAACCCGGACCCGTTAGTACTTTTAATAAACGGGTCGGGTATGGTACTTATGATTCCGACCCATTAAGGACCCGGACCCGTTTAAAATTTCTTATTAGTATTTATACACACACACTAATACATAAAGAGGTTAGTTATAATACTTCAAATAAAAATACAAACTAATATATATAAAGTGCGTGATTAGTTTTAATTCTTTGATTAAAAGGAAACAAATTAATACATACCTAATGTATAAGTGATAATATAATAGTACGTAGTATATAATATGCTTTTAGTCCAAAAGAACTTTTTGTGACCTAATTTCTAGTCTAATATACGAGCTTTCTGTGGGAGAGAAAGAGACACAAAGTGCGAAATTGTACGCATCTACAAGAATCGATATTTTATTGAATAAAAGTACTAATTTTCTATGATAAACCTTGATTTTTTTTTTGAAAAGTGAAGATATATTTTGCTTTTAAATTTCTGCACTTTGATTTACATTTCATATACATGTTTTACTATTTTTAAAAAATTATATAATGTTCTGTCAAAAAAAAGTTATATAATGTTGTGCATATGATACTTGGCGGGTCTACCCGACCCGGTTCCGAGACCCGTTGGGTCCGGGTCCGGGTCCAAATTTTTAGACCCGCCGGGTAAACGGGTCGGGTCCGGGTCCTTTATTTACTTAGCGGGTCCGGGTCTGGAACACTACGTTCCGACCCGGACCCGACCCATTGACAGGTCTAACTGTTCTGAATTCAAAATTTGAATTAAAGTTTCCCCCCAAATCCATAAAAACTTCTTATTGGTTCAATGATAAGTGAACAGTCTGGGTTCTTGCTTGGCCTTTCATATTTCACGGTTATAAAAGCAGGGATACCCATGTTACAGCACCACACTCATAAGTACCAAAGAAATCAGAAACATAAAGAAATTTTCCAAACAATGGTTGGCATGTGGTACCATTCCCAGAAATAGACCAAAGTAAAACCACTTGGGCCATTAAGACTAGAGAAATACGGGTTTAGCGAGAGCCGGCTCGGCTCGACTATCTTCCAGAGACATTGGAGGATGTCTTTCATGAAGAGGAGGTTTGCGCGTTTTATAGTTACCTTTTGTAAATTTTTTCATCCACTTTTCTCAAAAATGATTTATGCTAACATGCTAACAACATTTCGAATTTCAGGGTTCCAACTTCCACGATGCATGCACACACTTCGGGCCAGTTTATCAACAAGTTTATCTGGATTTTCAAGGAGCTATGAGGGTCAAGTGTTTGAGGTCAAAAACTTTATGGTGGAGGAATAACATTAGGGCAGTGAAAAACTTTAATCAAGTGCACTTGATGAATTAGTAAAATCAGTACTTTTTAAAAAACGTGCATGGTATTAATATTCATCTAAACCTTATGTGTATGTATTGTGTAAATAAGAAACTTAGTAATGTTAATAAGAAACTTGGTTATGTTCTCCCAACTATGCGTAGAGGTGCGTACCTGTGGTCTGTTCCTGATGGGCTTGCAGAAGCCTATATCTACACTATATCTAATTATTACATACATTTTTTCAGAATGGATAAAAACAAATGACAAGTAATATGAATTCTTCAGGCCGGAATTCTCAGTAACATCCAAGGAATCCCTGCAGTTTCAACGAGAGATTCTGACTAAAAATTCAACAAAATTGCAAATCCTGTTTGGGACAATTGTAAATAATGAAGAGCTGGGGTTAATGTTTAAAGTATAAACTCAAAATATGTCTGTTAGAAATTCTTAGTGTGCAAGAAAAAACCGTAATTTTTATCATAATCTATACCATATATGCCACCCCCTGATTGGCTGGCATGTCTGGGGCAATTAGTTTCACCTGGGCACTTCTTATTAGGTTTTATATCGATAGTACAAACATTATTATAAAATTGTTTTAATTGATGATGCAAAAATTATCACCCGCCAATTTGTTTCACTGGGCATCTCTTATAATTGTTTTTACTAATTACTCCTTCCGTCCCCCTAAGTTTGTCCCATTTTACCTTTTTCGTCCGTCCCACTAAGTTTGTCCCATACCATATTTGGTAACATTTGAGTGGTTAGAATTCATTCTTACTTTATTTACACTTTATCAATTCAATACCAACCACACAATTCCACTTTTTCTTAAAGACCACGCCACACCCCTCCGTCCCAAACTTAGGGGGACGGAGGGAGTATATAACACACGTTTTCTGTTCTATAATCTTATGTGGACATGTACTCTAAGTTTATTGGTGCATTTTCAAATCCAAAACAAGGATTTTAGTTGACATTTGGGATGATCTTAATCAGTTCAATTCAATACTGTGAAGTTTAAAAACAGAAAGTGGGCGGGTCCCGTCTAATTAATTGAGTTGGGTTTTTCTACCGAAAGTTGTATTTCGCTAAGTCTAAATTTAAATTTTTTTAGTGAAAAGAGCTGGAGGTCTCTGGATGGTTCTTAGATATTAGTTTTTTTAATTAAATTTAAATTTAAAAAAAAAAAGTTTTTCAGCATTAAAAAAGATACCGAAGACATATAATAACCAAAGGAAAATTAATTGACTTTTCAATATATTCTAAAAATGTTTTTCCAGTATGTTATCAGTATAGCTTATCCCAGAAAATCAACAAATTTGATGAACAATATAATATAATGTGTGAAATAAAAATTCAAAACTTATGTACGTTTATAAATCATTATCTTCGGAAAAAAATATAGATTTTGAAGAACAACTTGGAAAATTGGCTTTTATATGCCTTTAATAGTGAAAATAGAATAAGTGATACGGAGTATTATTTTATTTCGGATATCTTTTCAAAATGCGAAGATATTAAAAATAAAAATTAAGCAGACCTTGCATGTTCAGATCTGCGGGGTTTTATATGAATTTGGTTTTTGACCGTGGATTTGTATAAAAAAGAAGCTTTTCTGTCAGGATCATCCATCCTGAGCTACGTCCAAACCACGACAATCAGGCGCAGTGCTGAGCTACGTCCAAACCAATTAAGCAGACCTTGCATGTTCAGATGTTCCACCATCTTCTCACTGTCAGGATCATCCATCCTGAGCTACGTCCAAACCACGACAATCAGGCGCAGTGCTGTGTCGTTTGAAAGAAATGACACACCAGGGCGGCGAAGTGAGAACCCTACGTGAGAGATCTCGCTAGGGAAACACTGATCGAATTTCGATCAAGAAAGATCGAAATCGGAAATTACCTAGTGCGGCTCTGCCCTAGGAGCTCTCTACGGCAAACCCTCGTTTAAGTAGTTTTTACTTATAAATTGAAATTTTATAAACACACCCGATTAGTAACTTTTACTTAACTTATTATTCTTTCTTTTTTTCAATTCGTTTTTTCTTTGTTCGTCAGATTATTTTTTAAATTTTTTTTATTCATACATTTCTTTCTATAATATACTGTTTATCTCTTCTATACCACGTACTCCCTCCGTTCTTTATTATTAGTCCTTCATTCCATTTTGGGCTGTTTTTTATTATTTGTCCTCCTTTCCATTTAAGGAAAGTTTTTACAATCAATACACCTTTATGCCTCCTACTTTTATTACAATTACTCCTTTCTCTTTCCTACTTTTTCATTTACCCACTACTCATTACACCTTTTACAGTACCCCTATTACTTTCCTCTTAAAACCCGTGCCAAAGCCTAAGAGGACTAATATTAAAGAACGGGGGGAGTATGTGTTTAAAGATTTTTTAACGCATTGTATTTGTTTATTTCGATTTTAAAGTTACATGTAGAGTTATGTTTTCATGTGTGCGAGTTACATCTCCATATGTACGATTACACCTTCTTATGCATCACTTACATCTTCATAGAGTTACTGTAAGACTACTCCTGTTTAAGCACGATTAACTTGGAGTTTTTAGCTGATGAGCTCCCTTAAAAGTGTTAAGATCTGAGGTTCCATCCTAAAAGGTCAGCCTGATAGGAGGAGTAGCTCATTTGTTAATATAACACTTTGTTCATCCAAACGTTTCCGGTGTGGGACATTTAACACCCCTCCTCACGACCAGACACTTCGTCTGGATCGTGCAATCATTCATTTTTTTCATCGGCGGGTCATCATTTTTCATAAGGGGCCCACACCATGGATCGATTTGGCTCTGATACCATGTTAAGATTTGAGGTTCCGTCCTAAAAGGTCAACCTGATAGGATGAGTAGCCCATTTGTTAATATAACACTCTGTTCATCCAAACGTTTCCGGTGTGGGACATTTAACAAAAAGGAGATGCACTGTCACGCCCTGGACCCGGACATATCAACAACTATCATACAGTACGAATAGTCAATCACAGTCAAACTTATCCATACTATATTAGGCGTCATGATTATCATTCACACATAGTACATCCATAAACAAATATAATGTGAGAACATTCATTTAAGCAGCAAAATCAATATTACAATTGTTCAAGCCACACTTGGCAAACTTATGCATACAAGCCCCCAAATAATTTATCAGAAAATAATATTCATGAGCATTATAGTAATTGTTTTGAAAATGGAACGGAGGAAGTACGAACCATGTCTTCTCTGTAAGAACTCTCGAAGCAACGGGTGCAGGAAGCAAGTTCTAGCTTCTAACTGAAAACTGTGAGGTGGCCTCCCCCGTGAAGGGGAGGTCAGTACTTTGAGGCATTTGAAAAATACAATGACAACTACGGAGTATATTGCATATAATTAATGTCTCAATCCTTAAGACCTTCAACATAAGGTGATATAGTATTTCTAGGAAATAACTCATAGTCACCTCTTTCAAATCATACATAAGTATATAGAGTCAAATAGTTGGTCCATAGGCCAATTTGTATTTATCACAGAACTTTTGTATCGCCACACGATAATTTATCGCCCCACTTGTATTTAACAACTTCGTTCTTATCGTCCTGCGATAATTCATTACATTAATAATTCATACACTCCGACCCAAAATGTCACATCAATCATACATGACCTGTCGCCGCTACCCGAGTCCCCGCAGAGCACTCGGTCGGAGTCTAGCATCCCACCCCTGGACTCATACCCTGTTCCCGTAGGAAGGTAAGGCCATTCGGGGTCCTATCTCAAGTGTTACCGCTGTCGGGAGTCTAGTAAGATCTCTGGTTCGGATTCCAATCTTACAAGTGAACACGTTGCAAGTCCATGCTATCCAACCCCACTCTCTAGAGTCAGGAAGGGCCATGGTCCTTACTTCTTTACCACAATTTACTCGGCTATCCTCAAGGACTACCGAAAACACCCGTAGGCCAATCCTATACCTAGGATCAATTTACAAATAAGGTTATCTAGAGTACCCTTAAGACCTGCCCTTAGTACCACTTAGAGTTCATACAACTCTACTTCGTAACTTAAGTCACTTTAATTAAAGTATCTCTTAAGACTACTTAAAGTCGTAGCACAGTCCATCCTTAGGATCAATTCCAACATATTCACATATTAATTTCCCGACTAGTATTTTAATACTAGTCGGATTAATCTTAAAACAATCAAGTTCTCCATTCATGGTCATTTAGACAATTCAAAGTGGTTTTCCAATAAAAACATATATGATTTATCTCAATACACAAAATATCCCTTTGGTCATTCATACAATCTTCATTATATGAGGTAAAAGTATATTTTATCATCACAATTAAGGAGGGATCCCAACAGTCAACCGGTTTTAAATTGTTGATCAGGTTGACCCGTAATCAGATCAAGGCGGCGGGATGCTTCTAGTCCGGGTTATAGCATGTACTCTGTAAGTCTGTAAGGGTCTGTTTGCAACAGCTTCTGTTTTTAAAAAAGTGTTTTTTTAATGAAATGAGGAGAAGTGATTAAATAAAAGTTGATAGTGTTTGAGAAAAAAAGTGATTTTGAAAAGTAAAAGTGGATAGTGTTTGGTAAAATAAGTGTTTTTTGTGTAATAGAAAAAGTAAAAGCACTTTTGACGCGGAAGCCGAGAAAAATAAAAGTTATAGTGTTTGAAAAAATAAGTACTTTTTAAAAGTCAAAAGTTAAGAAATGTTTTTTTAAAAGGACCCGAACTCATTTTTCTGGAGACTCAACGTGTAGGACAAAACTGTCCAACCAAGGAAAAAAATGAGTGCGCCTACTCCGCCTAGTAATCAATGGGGTGCGTGGAGAAGGGGCTTTAGTTTAATTACCGTATTAAAACATCAGACAGAAGTCAAATGACAGCTATCTATAGTTTGCAAGGAATTCTTTTCAGACGCATTTCGCGTTTTGCGCGCTCTCCCTCTCTCGTGCTCAGATCAGATCTGATATCGGAGGGTAGGGTTCGAAGCTCGATCAGGTTCAACCTCGCATGCAATCAATTAGATTCTTTTATTCGATAATTTTACATGATTTGATCTGTTGTGGCATTTCAGACCTGTTTTACACGTCTCATTGCCTGAATTTGAAGCTGTCTTTCTTACTCCGATACGTAATCTAGATGCATTTTCAATTGTTTACTTTTTGCGTTTGATCTTCAATTTATTTTATTGTTTATCACCATTACTATTATGAATTTATATATGTGAATGAATTTGATTTAGTCCATTTCTCCGCAACACATGTGTTTTCTCATTTTTATTAGGCGCAACGGTGTAATTTATAAAGTCATTTTCGATATTTTTACCAATTCAATGATTTCACATGAATCAGTGACGATATATTTACCAATATGTTTTTAAATCTGTCAAAGAATTTATGATACTTGAACGAATAATTATTGACAGTAAAGCTATTTTAGTATTTTCCAAAATAAAATGAAAATTCTAGGATGGAGTTTTACATTGATTATATGCAAAACTGAGTAGTCCGGATGAAAATGATAGAAACTTCCCTTCCCGCACACAATTTGATTTTATGGATTTATATTTACCTGTTTTGACCAAGCTTGTAACACGGCTGACCTCAGCAACTTTGTTTGTGATTTTAAATTTTTCTTGTGATGTACTATCTGTGTAAATGGCAATGCAATATGTTTTTAGAAAAATATTATTGTCAGTAATGTATGATTTTTTTATTGTTTTTCAGCATCGCATTATTTGGAGGGATCTTATTTGCAGAGTAACCTGTTACTTATAAGTTAGAATGAAGAAGGTCTTCGATCAAACTGTGCGGGACTTGTAAGTTTTTCATTTGTAACGGGAGGTACTTGTGAGCATGCATGAGCATATAAGATGTTACTAGGATGTAGTTTGTTTTAGACATTAATTTTAAATGTCTGAGAAACATATCTTTTCAAATATTCCTCCATTGCATTGGATATTGAGCTGGCTTAGTCAGGTCTTATAGCACTTTGCAATTTTTGTTTCTTGCAGAAAGCGGGGTGTTAACAAGAAAGTTCTAAAAGTCCCCTCAATAGAACAAAAAGTAAGGCTTTTATTTATATGCAATTTTTTAATCAAGTAACTGTCTTTCATGTTGAATGTGCTGCTGCTTGCCAATAGTTTTTGGTGGCTGGTATGTAGTAGCATATCCAAATGTGCTATTGTAGTTTACAATGACTTATGTAATTCTGTTTATCTTTCAGTTCCACATAAGCGGGTCACAAACAGCCCACTATTTTACTTTGGGGCATTCTCATGCTCTACTGGGAATATGGATTTCCATACTAATATACATTTTGAGCCCGTTTGGTAATACTCAAATGGGCTGTAGAACTGTATTGGCTGTTTCTGCTGAAATTTATGAAGTTCTGGCTGAAGTGGTTTTATTAACTAATTCTGTTGATTTATGCAAAAAAATACATTTAAATTATATTTTACTAATAAAATAAATAAAAAATTATATGTTAAATTGTTAAAAAAGCTAAAATGATCATCTACAATAACATACCGCCAGAAAAGTAACTCCAACCTTACCTTTTCTTATTATTACACAATTCAGCGCGCGAAATTAAAAGTTACATGTTTGGTGAAAAAGTTGGCTAATAAGCCGAAAAGCAGGGTCACGAATCGGGCTCTTTATGTTTATTTGGAAGATAATAACCCCATATTTGTGACACTGAATTTGGGAAATAAATTATGAATTTGAAATTTGAGTACTTTCTGGACCTTTTCAACTACTTTTCATGTAATCGGACTTTGATTTTTGAATGAATGCTAAAATCTTTGAGCATGCTTAATAATTTTGATACGTGCCTTCCTGCATTCATATCGGCTACACTGTCCATACACCTGTAAATTGAAATTTTGCAAAGGTTTTCCTTTTTTATGCTGCAAGATTGGTCAGTTATTCAAATTGAGAAACTAAGAGAGTGAATACCATATCTCCATTGTACTATCAATCTGGCATTTTTCTTTCAGAACTCACATTTTCATGCATTCTTTTTTGTTTCGTGGGGTGATATTTTGCTATACTAGACAACTAATGGTATTGTCATCATTCTCTGGTGGTCTATGATGCTATTTTCAGGTACTTGATGCCACTAGCAATGAACCATGGGGTCCTCATGGGTCACTTCTTGCTGATATTGCACAATCTACAAGAAACTAGTATGTTATAGCCAATCTCTGGTAACTCACATTTTAAACCTGTTTTTCATTCTTTTTATAGCACTAGTTTTTTTTTTAATTATACGCAGCAATGAGTACCAAATGGTAATGGCTGTAATTTGGAAGCGCATCAATGACACTGGAAAAAATTGGCGCCACGTTTACAAGGTGGGACTATATATTCTTATCTACCCTTAAGGACTAAAGTGTATTAGTATAGTCATATGATTTTAGAGTATCTATCATCTGCATTGCTACTGATCTATATCACAACTGAAAGCACATGCATAAACACTCGTATGCAATTTAGAGGCATCAGCATATTGGGATTTGGGATATTTTCAACTACTTTTCATGGTTGCATTTATGCTTAGTGTTTTCCAAACTCCATACAATTTTACTGGTGTATTTTTTAATTTGATTGATTAATTTTCTTCTTGAATCTAGATGATTCGTTTGCAAGGTTGAGTAGAATGTGGATGAGTTCTGAATGTGTCACGAGATACAAGGTCAAAAATTTATCGTGAGCTTTTAAAGCTTACAAAAAAAAACCCAATATCTTTTGGGACTAAGGCTTGAATGTTGTTGTTGTTGTATATGGGGTTGTTGGATGAATACATGAAAACAGGGACATTTTTGTGTGGAAGGGAAGAAATCTGTTTTCTAGCATTTTATATCTTTATGAGTACTTATAAAAACCATGGCCTAAGGAAAATCTTAAACACCATGTATGACTGAAAAGTGAAAACATAAAAAGCATTAAAACTTTATTGAAATAAAGCTCTGGTATTTTCCCAAACTTGAGAAAAAAAATATGGAAAAATGGTAGCAATTGTACTTCTGGGGTTTATGATGACAAACGTTTGATAGTTTGTTTTTTCTAAAAAGGTGATTAAATAATCTCGAAACCCTAATCTATCCCAATTTCTTTTCTCCCTTGTCAACTGACCTGCTGCCACCATCCAACCAACCGCTGACCCCCCCCACAAAATATTAGAAACAGTCACTGGAAACCGTCGCCGCCGGTCAGTCTAACATGTTCTAAGGTGCCAGCGGCAGTCTCACAGGTGATGGTTTCATTGTCAGTGACATCTTATTGTTACTTTTTTGAATTTATAAAGCTGTCATATTTTTTTTGTTCCACTTTTCCTCTAATAATCTTAATGCTACAACCCCTAAATAAAATAGCAAAACAGGCTTAAAAGTGTCTTTGTACACAATCTGCTATCTTCAATGACTTTCTAGTTTGTACACAATTTGGTATCTTCAACTTTTTACACCCATTTGTCACATCGTGTGACAATGATGCATCTATAGGGGAATCTGGAAAATATATGTACTAGTCCACATTTAAGGTTTCGGGAAACACATAAGAAGAGATAGACAAGGAACAGGTGATGCAAATATGGTGGAGAGGATTCTGATCGCCCTTGGCAGAGAAAAAACTGAGAGAAGCTCGCTACCTGGCTTTGCCAGACTCATCACTACATAAGTACATATAGGTTGTCAAGTCGATCCAGTTTGAACCTGAAGATCAGGTATAAAAGACTTCACCTGTACCTGAGACGACAAGTGCTCACAGTCACAGAAAAAGCCATTAAAATATGAAAGGAGCTAATATATTTACACACCGTAGTTTAGTTAGAATTAGTTTTCCTCTCGATAAGATCTCAACAGAGACCCAAATTTCTGTGTGCATCACTCCACAAAATAATCCCAATTCCCAAGTGACGCCCAAACGTTCGGTATGCAGTTGATCTGTCCATAGGTTAGCCTTACCTAACGCGTGGAACACTGCTAACCCAACCATAGCACTCGTCGAGCTGTACGTTGGTGGAAGGAAAATCGTTCACGATGTCTAAATAACTCATTTTACTGGATAAGTCAAGGGACTGTCCAAGCAATGTAATTGAGAAAAGTCCTATTTAGATTACATTTATGCAGCAACCTGTCTTCTGGTTTGCGGAGCTGCTAAACTGCTAGGGAAGAACTGCCCGAGCACTTGTTATCCAATTCATGACCTGCTCTTCCGAGGTACGTCGCGTAGTTGGCTTAGGGCCGCTTTGGAAAAAATCCTTCAAGGTTTAGTTGCCAAATGATCCTCAGTCCTCACTGTCCATGAGTCCATCGTACATACTGGATAATGATACCATTGATCATACTAATGGAGTGCTTGTTGTCGAGTACAATCTCTTGTCTAAAATCTTCGAGAAGATGTCAGAAGAGATGAACAAGGTTCAGATGGATGTGAAGCTGAAGTAGAGTGGAATTCTGCTTTGCCTTGGTAGAGAAGCGGAGATAAACTCACTACTTGGCCTTGCTGAAGCTCACAGTTGGAATAACAAGAGTCATTGCAAGAAAGAAAAGACTTTGAGTTTGCAGGCGACTTAAGTAAACAAAATACCAATACTAATGCAAACATGACACAAGATGAAGGCGTGCAATTCCTGTGCTGCACTTCAGCCTCAAGAGTGTTGGTATTGCTGCCTTGTGAGCGCGTCAACATTAACATCCTTTTCTTCTGTTGTATCCATCATGTGCCATTTTAGCTTGGTGTTGGGTTTGGATACAGTTTTTACCTGTGTCCTATGGGTGACTTCACACAATTGGGGTTGATGCTGTATTGGCGAGTTGGCACTTTACCCAAGATCTAACTCATTAACTCCACTACAAAGCCAGCTCAAGAATGGAGACATGACCTCAGCTTAAGTACCTATCCACAAATTCTGCACATCCACAGCGGGTTTGTATTATAAGAACAAGGGTAAAGTCAGGAGAGGGACAAATAAGCCAAATATCTTAAGGCCATAGGAGGGGCAATGCACTTTCTTTTCATTTTTTTGCTCGTCGGTTTTGTTTTCTTGGTCTTTCTTTGATTTTTACGGCCTCGTCTTTTTGTAGCTGACCATTGATATTGCTTTTATGTTTGCATCTACGCATGTACCTGGAAAGTGTAACCAGTTTTTGAATTTTAATAACTGAACTACGAGCAAAGATAATGTTTTGTGATGCTATGCAGGCCTTAACTGTTTTAGAATACTTGGTGGCCCATGGGTCAGAACGCGTCATTGATGAAATAAGGGAGCATGCCTACCAGATATCAGTAAGTTCCATTATAAGTTATTTTGTGACTTGTAAGTTGATCAAGTTACATCATGTGTCTTGGAATATGGGAGTTCTCATGATTTTCTTGCTTGTGACAGACACTGTCCGACTTTCAATATGTTGACTCTAGTGGAAGAGATCAGGGAAGCAATGTAAGAAAGAAATCTCAGAGTCTTGTAGCTTTAGTAAATGACAAGGAAAGGATACAGGAACTCCGTCAAAAGGCAGCTACAAACAGGGAAAAGTAAGCTTCACCACTAGTATTTATAATACAAATATGTCAATATTATGTGTTTGGACCTAAGATGATGCAAGAGTAGTATCTTTTGATAATTATATTGGTACTTAGTTTGCGAGATTGAGAGAATAAAAAACTGATTCTGCATAATATGAGTTTACCTGGATGACTAACAATATTCAATGATGTAAAGGATGTTTTTGTTTTTAACTGTTCTAGTTAAAAGTATAACTTGTGCATTACGTCATAGTTAACTACTTTTTTGGTTTATCTATCTTGTTTTTTAGTATAAGCTTTGTGATAACTTTTGATTCGTTTAGATACCGTAACACATCAACGGACAATATGTATCGTCCTGGATCCTATTCAAACTCAGGGGGTTATGGAGACAGATATGATGAAGATCGTAATGGGAGCAGAGATGATGATCGCAATGGTTATGGTAGAGAAAGAGAATGGGGCAGAGATGAAGACAGATATGGACGGTATGGTGGAGATTCATATGGCCGTGATGGGGATCGCTATGGTAGAGATAGTGATGAGCGCTACAGCCGTGATGGATACAAAGATGATGATTATAGTGGAAGAGGTCAGAGCGCTGATGAATACCACTCTGGTTCAAGAAGAAGTTCTGACAGAGAGAGAGAGAATGCTTATGATGATGATGCTCAAAACTCCGCAAGGTTTGTCTGTCTCTTCTTGTCAATGAATCTGCGGTTTTGGTTTTCTACACTTCTCATTACCTTTTCGGATATCAGATTGTTGGACTTGGATTAATTTGTGGTTGTGAAGGCCGAAGGGATTCTGCTAACAATTTTTTAAAGATGTGTAAAATTCTGCACCTTGTCAAACTCTCAGTAATGAAAATGACTGATCTTTTTGTAACTGATAACATGTAATTCACTCATGGAAATGTGAGACACCTGCTCTGTTTTCTTAATATACTACCGGTTCCTTTTTCCTTGTGTTTGTACTTTGTACTCTTGATTCAACCTTTGAGTACTGTATCTCGATTTGTGTTAAAATTGATTTATTGCAAACATTTCATGGTTTTAGATGTTTTATCTGCATCTCAGTTCGATTTATGAAACTTCTCATTTTAGACTTTTATCTCTGAATTACAGAGGGAGTGGTGCCAGGGTTGAGGATCAGGCACAAGGAAGGTAATTTTTTTTGTAGCTTTGTTATGGCATATTAAATTATGGACCTAGGTTCACAATGCAATGTGGACCTTGGCCATTGGAGAAGTGTGCATGCTTCTCATGTGATTCTCCATCTTATTATTAGCATCCCATTCCAAAACCATTATTTCTTATTCTATTAATAAAACTTAGATATTAGATATATACCTTTAAAACTGTTTGTTGAGATCGTTTAATTGATGCACATATTAATTTACCTGTGTTTAAAGGAATAATTCAGGCCTGTTCAAATAATAACTTCATTAGATCTGAATACTAGTCACATCTGTTTCAAACTGCAGTTTCTTTAACTTCAAAATGCACTTTCATTTGGTTTGAACTGCATTTGTCTGGACCTGTTTTTCATAACTGCAGTCCATACTTCCTAACAATTTGGCTCGTCATTAATGACATTGCAGATCAATCTAATAAAAATGATGGTCATAACAAATAATATTGCAATTGAATGATGTTTCAATTATTGTACTAAACATTGAAAATCTCATTACAATATGGGCGTCAGCACTCATCAAAATGATCTCGATACAAATTTTAAAATGGTTTTTTATATTTTGCTTTTATTTATATACTCCCTCCGTGTCATGGTATGTGTCTCAGTAGGCTTTTCACGTAGTTTAAGATAATTTATAGGTTTACTGTATACCTTTTAAAAAGTATGAGATTTTTGTTACTGTACTATTATTTATACTTTATTAAAGTGTACTGTAGCTGTGTTTTGGGTGGATTCCTTTCCAAAAATGGCAATGTTACAAATATTTTGATACATCCCAAAAAGGAATACGCGACACATATTATGATATGGAGGGAGCAAGTACTTGGCAGAAATATAAATTTTCAAGATTAATGGGAGAGTTCCATGAGATGCACCTTCTCTAGGACGCTTGGCCTACATTGCCTTGATGACATGAATACATGATATCACAATTTTATTATCGCCACATTGTAGTGTTGTATTCATTGGCTAACTTAATTTTTATATTTGTGCTTCTAGTGGAGGGCTTGACCGGAAGTATTCTGAGCAAAACATTGGTGCTCCTCCCAGTTACGAGGAAGCAGTTGGTGCTGCACATAGTCCGACAACTATTGAAAGGTATCGTATAAGTTTATAACATGTCCTGTGCCACCTTTTTCACAGTTGGATTTTTTCCCTTACATCTTGGATAACATAGATAGAGTCCTGTTTTTTAAAGGGATGGAGAAACTTCATCAGTGCATGCTATTAAGTCGCCATCTCATCATTCAAGTGTTAGTATAGGCCAAGATGCCACAGTGACCGGTTCAATACCTTCTGCTGGTTCTCCACCAGCTTCAGTACCAGAAAATAAGGATATTAGTAACTTTGATGAATTCGATCCCCGAGCTGCTTTTGCAGGTAGAATGCGTACAATTATAATTTTGTAAGTGTATATGATGCTTTTGGTTTTCTGCTTCAACCCATTAGACATTTACTGCACTAGACTTTTGTATCTGACTGAATGTATGTGGTTACTGGTTATGTTGGTGTTTATTTTATACTTCAATGATTTCATATATTTAAATGGTCCATGGGATGTAGCTAAAGATGAGCTTGGTGTATTGAACAACTACTCAGCTGTTGGTTGTGTTATAAACTTATAATCATAACTCTTGAAACCTAAACTTTGGAAATGAGTTTGTGCATTGTTATGCATCTGATTTTCTGAGATCCTTGGTGTAGGATAAGCTCATCGAGTTTGACTTTTCCCTTTGCATGTGCTGTTAGTAAATTGGGAAGCAAACACTTGTGTTGTGATTGAGTTCAGCAGACATACTATATACGAGCCTTATTTTGTAACAAACAATGCTCTTCTTTCACTCTCTACTGTAATTTCTTAGCCTTGATAGAACATTTCTAGCTCAGTTGTTGACTTGTTGATTGATAAACAACTTGTCTGCGTGTGTGCTTATGGAGTATCTTAGTGGTAGACTTGATGACAACAATACAGATCTGGTTGAGATACTGAATGCTATTTGGCCTTTTTAAGCAGCTGCCCCCACTGTTGCCTCTGGCGTAGAAATGGATCTACTTGGCTCTCTCTCTGAGTCATTCTCCTCTAACACCTTAGCCCTTGTGCCTACTGAATCAACCATGGCAACTTCCAGTGGAAATCCTTCTAAGACAGCCAATTCTGGATCCACCTTTGCTGCATCAACAGCATCTACAGTTGCCAACCAGGTCGCTTTTATAAAAGTTACCTTATGCATTTTCTTTCCTGTGCATATTATTTGGTTTATATCCCTTCACAATATTTGCTGTATTATGTTTTCCTATATTTGGTTTGTATCTACGCATGGTGAGTTTTCAAACTTGACAGTTGACACTATAGAATAATGAGTCCATCTTGCATAAAACAGAGGAGACAGTAAAAAAGAGCTGTAAATGAATATATCAGCATGTGACCACTCAGCCAAGATTCATAAAGAAAATGATAATAGCCAAAGGTTATGAAAGCACTTGCTATTAATTGACCATACATCCCAACTTGGGACCTCACTCACATGCACGCATCCAAAATGGAATAAGAGGTCAAAATGTAGGGACAAAAAATAACACCAAGATGAAAATGGCCCTAGTTGAAGAAATCACATTTCCTGTCGATGAATTTTTTATGCCAAATATTACAGATCACAATTTATGTACTGACTACTGAGTATGCTCGATGATCCTTTTGGCATTCAGGCTTTTGATGATCCTTTTGGTGATGGACCTTTCAAAGCTATTCTGTCCTCCAATGATGAAACTCCTCCACCTCCTCCACCTTATAATCATTCATCAGTTCAAAGTCCTGATATTCCTGCACTAGCCTCACATAAGGTAGAGACATTAGATAATTTGGGAAGCACCCCCCATGTTGCATCTTATTCAACATTGGATGCCTCCAGTGCAACACTTCATTCATCCAACGAACAATATGGTCAACAAGCGCTGTCCAACTCCAACCAAGAAGTTGATATACTGGCTGATATTCTCCCACCATCTGGACAATCGCCTCCAACTGAGTTTCAATCTGCTGCTCAACAACATGCTGCACAAATGGGATTTTCACCTAATGCTACTCCTTCACTTCAAACAGGTTTTGCGTCTCATAATGCCCCAACTTCTGTACATGATATCTCTGCTCAACCTGCACCAGCGATGGGGTTTTCTGTTCAGCCTGGGCTTCAGCCACAGACAAGTTTTCAAAATATTCAGCAAATGGGACTTCCGTCGCAAATAGGCGCTGCAGGCTTTTCAGCTCCACCTGCTCAAGCACCACAGACAAGTTTTATGGTGCATCAGAGTGGTCAACCTGCATCTCTTACTGGTTTTCCACCTCAGGGGAGCTCTCTGGCACAAGCTGGGTTCCACGCCCCAGGAGGCCACCAGTCCTTACAGCCAAATGCTAGTTTTTATGGTGGTTACAGTACACCACTGCGATCAACAGGTCCAATTGCGGCCCCCAAGAATACACAATTTTCCACTGTAGGAGCAGTGACACCTCAATTATCATCACTTCAGATAAATGCTTCCACTGCTCAGCATATTCCTTCTCCCTCAATTACTGTCTCTCAGCCAGCTAAGGATAAGTTTGAGACAAAATCTACGGTTTGGGCCGATACATTGAATCGAGGACTGGTCAACCTGAATATATCTGGATGTAAGAGTGCTGTTCTGAAATCTGCTTATTTCCATTAGTTTTGAATTCTCTCTACCTGCAATTGACTAATATCACTATGTCTCTCATGTTATGTATGTGCAGCTAAAACAAATCCATTAGCGGATATTGGGGTTGATTTTGATGCCATAAATCGCAAGGAGAAGAGGATGGAAAAACCTACGACCTCTACAATGACGTCTACTATTACCATGGGCAAAGCCATGGGAAGTGGTTCTGGAATGGGCCGTGCTAGTGTAGGTGGTGGGCTCAGACCTGTACAAAACCCTATGGTAGGCTCAGGCATGGGGTTGGGTGGTCCTGGGTCTGGTATGGGCCTGGTTGGTCCTGGGGGTCCAGGCCAAATTGGAATGGGAAATTTTAGAGGAGTTAACCAGCAGCCAATGGGAATGGGGATGAACATGGGCATGGCACAGGGAATGCAACAGTCTTCAGGATTTCCTCCTGGGTCAAATATGCATGGAAATTACAATCCTATGACGGGGACCCACACTTATTATGGCCAACAGCCCTATGGTGGCGGCTACCGATGAGGTCCTACCCGATTCTCTATGAAGAGAGTAGTAGAGTGGTAATGTTGTTGTATTACATGAAGACACAAATATTATTTTTGATTTGAGAGTGGGTTTGACATGGAGGTTTATACTTCCAGGCATCGAATACTTCTTCAGAGCATAAAGGTATATAAGTAATTCTATTCTACAGTTCTCTTCGCAGTTGTCCAATGTTGTCATATATTTTGGAGTTGTATAATTTCTATAGACACCACACGATGGGATTTTTATTATGTTTTGTATAGCCTTGGTGGGCTATACTTCCTCAGTTACCTCTCCCATTTGCTCTCTACACCACATACGTGCTTGTAAAATTTTGTGATACTGTTTATTGTATACTTCAACATACTCCCTGCACAATAAATGTGATGATTCAATTTTTTATATGTATTTTGTGCTTTTTTATTGAAACATGTGTTTATATCATTCTTCATTTTGGGCATTCTTGTTTTTACTTCTACATTGTGTAGAATTATGCATTCATGTTATCAAGTAGCTGTGAAACTCATTCACGCTATTTATGTAGTGTATTGTTGGTTACAGACTTGAAATACTACGTAAGAATTAAAGCCTCTTTTAGGGAGCAAATATATGTTTAATTGATTGAATTTGCTGAAACTTTGACTCAAATCGTCTTATGAGCTGATTGCCTGAATTATAAAAAAATGCACATTTTAATTGACTATTATATAAGGGGCTATCAAATAAGTCCTATTATTGTATAAAAGTCAATCGAGTCCTACTTTCAAATGATCCAATCAGATCCTCGTTATGGGTGGACCGGTTCCGGTTCAGGCCCGGTTTGGGCCTAGGTTCAGAAATGGGAGGCCCGGAACCGGCCCGGGTAGTCCCGGGTCCGGGACGGGCCTCGGTTCTATTTTTTTTTTTGGCTTTACCTAATTAACCCCCAACCCTCCCCCTCACCCCCAAACTACCCCAAACCACCTATGGCCCAAAATACCAAGCCCAACCCAAAAACTTAAAAAAAATTCAAAAAAAAAAAAATTAATTTGGCCCGAACCGGCTGGGCCGGTTCGCCAATTAAAGGGCCCGGGCCCGAACCGCACAGTAACCGGGCCGGGCCGACCCGAACCGCCCCCCCGGACTGGTTCCCGGGCCGGGCCGGTTCAAACAGTAACCGGGCCGGTTCCGGGCCGGGCCGCCCGGCCCGAGTCCATCCCTAATCCTCGTACTATAAAAAAATATTCAATTTTAATTTTTTGCCAGTTAGGTATCGGTTATTTGATTACTCAGTGATGTGGCCAGCCATTTGTCATTAAATTTTCCCTTTTGGAAGCATATTCATCCCCTTCTCGTAGTCACGCAGGTTCTTCATCTTCCTATAACTCTTTCCTTCTATGCAATCTTCCCATCACACCCAAGCTTCAAACGGGAAACCCCACAAAATTCAAAACTCTGAAACTTCTTTCTGAATTCGTCTTTCTCCATTAGTCCATTTACATCATTTCCCTCACATAAATGACAGATACGCTTTGTACTCGACCTAAACAACATAGATGAAGGGCTTCAACATTAAGTGACCTAAAGGACGGAGAAGAAGATCCATGATTCACCCGCCACCGTGTGACTTTGCAAATTGCAATCGACGAACTCCAAAAATCTAAAACTTGAGGCCTAATTCGCTCTCTTTGTATTTTCGCATCTGGGATCGCTGCACAGGAGGGGATTTGCTCCCTGCTCTACAATGGAAGCTTGATCGGTGACTACTACGAGCCTGGAGAACATCGAGATCTAAAAGCTTACTTGCCTTCTAATTATGGGGCGTGAATACGAGGTCTGTAAGCTTAGCCATCATCAAATCCTTGTCACGACCTCATCCCTAAAAGTAAAAGTGGTCAGTCGATCTCCTTGCCTACCTCCAACGTCTCGTCCAAAAACGGCTGACAATCCAGTTAAGAGGTTGGCCGGTGGAAAAAACTCCTTTTTGCCGCCTAAGGAGCTCTCGTCTGTCATAGTAGAAGGGGATGGGTGTCACCATTTGTCACATGTTTCAAAATAGAAAAATTAGTGTGAGTTGGCTTGCCATGTCATCGAGTAACCGGATAACTGAACACCAAACTTATAAAAAAGCCAAATTGGATGTTTTATTATAGTTCAAGGACTTAATTGGATCATTCGAACTTAGAAAGTACGAGGATTCTGGACTCAGCTGACTTTTACGCAATAATAGAAGAACCTATTTGATAATTTTCCTATTAATGAAATCTAAATGTCGTGGTGGGATTCCCCCCATTAATTCATTTTTAGAAGCATTTCGAAGGTAATTTTGAATATGACTCCATGTAAATCATAACCAATATGACTCCCATTTTGAATTTAAGGTAATTATGAATATGACTCCATGTAAATCATAACCAATGATTGCAATTAATGAAAGATTAATATTAAGAGTTATCATTATAAGGAGTTCTCATTTTAGGATGAGTTCTCACTAGAACCCTCCCCTATACTATATGTAGGACAATTATCAATGCTTACAATGAACATATAACATGCCCTAACTCCTAAGTAGTATATTGCTGGTTATGATGAAGTTAGGAAAATGGGCTTGGTCCGTCTCGCACAATCAATGTTTGTTTCGGTCCAATATTGAACTCCCAAATTTCAAGTCCATTTTAGTCATCCCAAAGAAAGCAACTAACTCTTTCAGTGTCTCTTCAAGAATAGTCACTCCTTTGGGATAGGAATGAGCCATATTTGCTAAACAATCAGCGAATTTATTACCCTTTTGCAGAGAATGATGTATGCCTTTGTCATGAGTTTGATTAAGAAGATGGCAGTCTTCAATGAGAGTGTCTACCGCAACGCCTTCGACATTCACATACCGTTTAACCGTACATACAACTGCCTCAAAATATATTTCAGCCACCACATTGTGTAACTCTTCGTCATGCACGAGAATTGGGCGTTGACATAGAGAAAAAAATTGTTCACCCCCTTAAAAGAGGGTGAACATAACCCCCACCCTATTGGGATGCTACATGGTATGACAATTGTTTTCAATTTTGCAATTCTTATAAATTTTTCATTTTTGGTTCAATTTTTTCAAAAAATAGATTAGTATTTTTAATTTTTTATGATTTTTCATTTGATACCAATATTGTATACATAAAATTTAAAAAACAAATTGACTAAAAATACATTTTAAGAAAAAAAGATTTGTTTTTCAATTTTTATATGCATTATGGATACCATTGGGAAGATCATACAAAGTTAATAAATCTAATACGAGTATATTTTTTGTGAAATTTAGATTATATAAAAAAAAGTTATAACAATTTTAAAAAATAGTTATAATGCTAAATGACATCAATTGGAGGGAGGGGGTGATGTTCACCCTCTTAAGAGGGGTGAACAAAATTGGCTCCTTGACATAGGTCCCATACTTCAGCTTTGAACGTGTTCACTGGCCCAATATTTTATCACAAAACCAGTGACCCAGTTTCCCATGTGATCTCGAACAATTCCCCCAACTATTGCGTTGTTTGTTTCCTTTCAAAAGGAATCATCTATGTTGAGTTTGAGCTCACCTTTATGCGGATGTTGCCATTTAACCCTTCTTCGAACCCAATTTTTGTGAAATAACTTTTTCTCGTAGCCGGGCCCACGACCGCTTAACGATGGTTTCAAGTTTAGGATACTTACCCTCAAATAATCATGTGTTATGCGCTTTCCAAATATTCCATTGCCAATATGTCGTAAAAGGGGATTTGATAGGATCTCAGGTTGTGACAAATTCATTGAATCCAATTCTAAACGCTCTTACAACTCCTCTTGGTAGCCATTGCACGAAGACACACCCAAACCAACAACGTCTAGTGATATCACAATCCCAGAAAAGGTGAAAAATAGACTTTTCTCCTGCCTGACAGATAGTGCATGAACTGTCTATTGAAAGGTGTCGTTTGAACCTTTCGGCAATAGTAAGGATACAACCTTTGTAGACTAACCAAATGAACATACGAACACGTTCAATAACCCAAAGTGTCCAAATCCAGTTGCAATCAACACATTCTCCTCCTCCTCCTTTTCTTCTTCTTCTTCAAGTAAGGAATCATATGATGTTTTAACTTTTAACTATACAAATTGCTTGATTCAGATCAATGCCAAGTAATGCAATCTTTAGCCACATGATTGATTGGGATTGAAATTATGCTAACTTGATCAACCATATTTTTCCGGTAATAGAGAGTAGCCAGTCAGTCAAGATCCCAAGAAGTCCCGCCTTTAATCATATGAGACCACCTAATGGGTCATTAGGGGATTTGGAATTCAACTACATATTGGAGAGCATCATCTCTCCAAAAGTTAACAAGTTCACCGTTTTCAATTTTCCATTTGGCCCCTCGTTCTAGTGTGTCACAACATCGTAGGATTCTGCGCCAGATGTGTGAAGAACTTTGTTTGATGTGTGCAATCCAAAAATCATCATTCGGATGTACTCCCTCCATAGTGTTGGAAAAGGTTCATGTGGGTAAATGAGAAAATTTAGAAAAGGTGAACATATAAAGTGGAAGTAGTTAAAGGTAGATAAGTTATGTAGAGGGGGGTGGGGTGGGGGTGGAGCATTGTGAGACTTGACATTTTAATTAGTATAAAAATGATTTTAATAACATATACAATAATATTTTGGCTATTTTTTGATTGAGCAGCATTCATGATATCAAGCCGGCCTGACGGAAACCCAATCAGGCCAACTCCATTTTAGGCCCACATACCGCGCAATTAAAAGCGCAGTTATCTTCAAGAATTCATTTGAATGCCTTCCCGATTGAATTTTTAGCTAAAATTTGGTATGAGTAAATTAGACTTAATGAATAAGATGCTCACAAAATTTCATCAAAAAATGCTACCGTGAAGTGCCCCAAATGGCGACAGCCGGACAGAACCTCCTATATAAGGGCTTAGTACGTGAGCTTATTTGCCCCTTTTCCATCCCTAAAGTTTATGATCTTCTTTTTTTGGTTCATGAGTATGAGCTATTAGTTTCAACCTTTATATCTTAATTTTGTTCGAAAATGGACCCTACAATCTCATTTTTTCATGCCTAACGATTATCTAACGGTTAATATGAATTTATCATAAAATCATATTTAAGCTCGAAAAATCTTAATTTTTATAATTATCTAGCCATTTAAACTAAAACTCCCCCCGTCTCGTTATGATTGTTCCATTTTACCATTTTGGTCCGTCCCACTAAGATTGTCTCATACCTTACTTGGTAAAGTTTGTGTGGTTCTAAATCATTCCTACATTATTCTTATTTTATCAATTCAATATCAACCACATAAATTCAATTTTATTAATAACTGTGTCACCTTCTTTTGTCTTAAACTTAGGGGACGGAGGTAGTAGTTGATACTACGTACGGAGTACTATATTGAACAAAACTAGATTATAAACTTCGAGCCCGTTTGGAGA